TAACGTAAGCCACAAACTACATAATGTCATGTGTCTCTATATATAATAATGTGGCTATAATGTAAGCCACAAACTATATAATGTCATGTGTCTCTATATATAATAATGTGGCTGTAACGTAAGCCACAAACTACATGATGTCATGCGGCTCTCTCTATAATGTGGCTGTAACGTAAGCCACAAACTATATTATGTAATGGGGCTCCCTCTCTCTGCGGAGAGATTAAGCAGGTGTCGGGTGCGTAGAGTTGGTTCTGTAGGGAGCTGATGGGCAGCAGAAGGAAACACTGCCCAGCCTGCCCTGTCCTCACCAGGGTGGTTGCTTGTGAGCCCGTTGCTGCAGCCCCAGTGGCCATCCATCTCCCTGAGGGCCTCCCTCACCTTCGCTGCCCCTGCGCTTTACCAAGCACAAGCCCTTCTCCGAGGACTGAGCTCTCCTGGAATATCTTCGAAGACATCTTCCAGCTGTGTGTGAAAGATGAGTCTGGCTTGACTTCTAGTCCCCTGCACAGTGAGAGCGTCTGTCAAGTGGAGGAGCAACGAAGGAGGGGAAGCCCCTTGGCATGGATCGACTATGGGCTCGGGCACAGGGGTGCAGGATGGGCAGTGTTTCCTTCTGCTGTGCACAGGGTCACTGTGGGCCCAAGCTGACTCAATGGCCGCTCACAGAAGTAGCATACATGACAGGTGTACGTGGTCATTAGCACCCCAAACCTGCTGACAACAGAGCCACAGTCACACGTGAAGCGTCCGGCATCACCCCTGGCATTAATTCTGGTGGTCCGGGCCCCTTGCCTGTCCCCTCTGCCCCCGCCCCCTGGGACGGCCTCCTCCTGGGCTCTTGGTCCCAGGATGGGAAAAGCAACTAGCTGCCTACTGGGGCAACTCAGGCCAGGTGCCAGCTTTCATGGAGCAAACAACACGTTCGGAAGCACCTACCAAGAGCTGCCTGGCGAAGCAGACGAACAGGATGACGGTGAGCGAGAGGAAGGCAAGGCCAAAGGAGACTCCCAGGAAGGTGGTTCTGCAGGGGCGGAGGGAGCCAATGGTTAGTGACGGGGGAGGGGGGCACGCGGCAGACCCTGACTCATGGTGACCCCTTGTGTAGTGCAGGGCTTCCTGGGAGTCATGGCTGATTCCAAATGCCCAATCCCTGGGAGCCATGCCCCGCCAGCGCCCCCTGCTCCCTGGACACAGCGTTCGTTCCCTGGCCTGGACTGGCTGTCAGTCAGTCTGTCTCTGGTACCCTGCCCCACCTTCAGGGGACACGGAGTGGGTCCAACCCCAGTGGGAGATTCCACCAGTTGGACTGTTCTGTAGGGTTGCTGGAGCCCTTGTGGCCCAGTGAGTTAAGCTTGGGGCTGCTCACTGCAAGGGCAGCAGTTCAAACCCACCAGGCGCTCCATAGGAGAAAGATGAGGCTGCCCTGCTCCTGTGAAGACGTCAGCCCTCAGCGTGCTCAGGAGCCGTCTACGCTGTCCTTTGAGGCCACCGTGAGTCGGAATGGACTCCTAGTACTGGGGAGGGTCCCTATGAGTCAGACTTGACTCCTCTTGCCAGCTTCAGTTCGGTTTTGACCTCGTTTTGCCAACAGGAAATTGAGGTCCCGACCGGCTGAGGAGCTCGTCCAATGAGCCACATTTATTCAGAGGTGGATCTGGGATCTCTAAGCAGGAATTCTTTGCTGACCCAGGCCCTCTTTCTGGGAGAAGGCAATGCACTTTTTTTTTCCTATTTTTTTTCATCAGTGGAGAGCGCGAACGAACACAGACCCCCACTACCGCAAATTATGCAGTCGAGTTTCCCACATTTGGGGAAATCGCAGGGGTCAGCACATCCGGAGTGCAATGGATGAGCCTCGCCGTCCAGGGGGCGGGGGTCAGAGGCTCATCCATTGCACTGTTTATTTCAAACAGATGCTGGGGGAAAACCCCCTTCATGATCATGGTGTCTCCCCTGCCAGGTAAGCATGGCAGTGCACTTTTGTGCTTACTAGTTCTGTTTTATGAGTCAAACTCGACAGTTTCCCTAGAAAATGAGCCCATTCACCAGCTGTCCAAATGCCAGATAAACTCTCCATAGTGCTCACTCTCGGGCAACTCTGAGAAATCTCCAGATCCGAAATAGCATGTTCTCAGGAGCTTTGTGTGTTTGCTCGACCTCAAAAAAAAAAAGAAAGTGTTTCATCCTCATTATTGTTTGCTGCTTCCTATTCATTTCCTCAATTATCAATTTCAGATATAACTCTTGAAAACTCCTTCCCTCCACATGATCTAGGTCACTGTCCTTGCTGATTGTCAGCGGCTGCCTGTCAAAGGAGAGGAAAGTTCTCATAACCACGGCTTTGGCCAACCCCACAGCTGTCAGTTCACATAGACTCAACTCTTCTCTAAAAACCCAACAACCTCCATTCTTAAAGTGTCCTGTGACATGGGGGTCATTCGGACGAGTGATCTGTAGGTCCCCAAAAGAGGCTGCTTGGGCCCCTTGCTGTCCTATCTCATTCGACCTGGCCTGAGGTCGGGTCCTTTAGTGTCTCCGCTGGCTGTTTCTCGCTGGGCTGTGATAAGCACCCCAACTCCTGCCGGGGACTGCTGGCGAGGATGCGAGCTACCTTCCGGACCGAGCCCATCAGGTTTAGACCCGTCCAGGTTTCTAGCTGGGGTTGTGGTTCTGTCAATGTTTCTGGAGGTTTTTGTTTTTAACAATTTATGCTTTATTTATTTCAAACAGATGCTGTGGGGCATGTAAAGGGTGTGGGGGTTAAACCGTCTTGGTGTCCATGTGGTTCTCACGCTGGCTGCAAAAACACCGTCTCTCCAGCAGACTGCCTCGCTGCCGCGGTCTCCGTGCGCGCTGTCTGCCAGAGAGCTGCGTCTCGGCCTTCCTCTGCAGTCTTTCCCGTGGGCTCAGCTGGCTCTCCCGATGTCGGAGGAGAGTGCTTCTAAGGAGCACTCTGGCTGTACTTCTTTCCAGACAGTTGTTTGGCAGTCTACGGTACTTTCAATATTCTTCACCAGCACCACAATTCAGACACACCAATTCTTCTTCCGTCTTCCTTATTCAGTGTCCAACTTTCACACGCGTATGAGGTCACCACAGCTCAGGCCAGGCGCTTCTTAGTCCTCAAAGGAACTTCCCTGCTTTTCAGCCTTGAAGGAGGCCTGGGATCCAAGATGTAGCCAACACAAAGTGCCTTTTGATCTCTTGACCGCTGCTTCCATGGGCTTTGATCGTGGATGTGACAAGGTAAGATCCTTGACCACTGCAGTCTGTTCTCCACTGACCATGATGTGGCCTGCTGGTCCAGAGGCGGGGGTTAGGCCCTTCCTTACATTGAGGCATGGTCCACGCTGAAGGCTGCTGTCCTTGATCTTTATCAGCAGGCGCGTCAAGTTGTCCTCACTTTCAGCAGGCAGCGCGTGCCATCTGCATAGCACAGATTGTTCAAAGCCTTCCTCCAATGCCAATGCTACATTCTTCTTCATACAACCCAGATCCTTTCATTTGTTCAGCACACGGATTGAATAAATGATTATGGTGAGAGGATACAACCCTGACATAGACCTTTGCTGATTTCATTCAATGTATCTATGTATTTTACCTTTGCTGATTTTAAACCACGCAGTATGCCCTTGCTTTGAGCATGCAACTGCTTCTTGATCCATGTACAGACTTTACATTAGCACCTTTAAGTCCTCTGGGATTCCCATTCTTCTTAAGACTATCTGTAATTTGCTATGGTCCACACAGTCAAATGCCTTTTTCTATTCAATAAAACACAAGCAAACATCATTCTGGTATTCCCCGTTTTCAGCCAAAATTCAACCTACATCAGCCCTTGTTCCATGTCCTCTTCTGAATCCGGCCCGATCCTCTGGCAGCTCCCTGCCAGTGCACTGCTACAAGCATCGTTGGATGATCTTCAGCAACATTTTACTTGCATGTGATATCAGTGATATTTTTGAGTAATTTGCACATTTATTGGGTCATTTTTCTTTGGAACCAGTATAAATAGGGATCGCTTCCAGTCAGTTAGGCAAGTATCTGTCCTTCAAATTTCTTGGCATATCTGTTTATCTATGTATAAAACCAGCATCACTGTGTCCTTGATTTTATGGGCCTTGAAGTTGGTCTGATGCATCATACGCTATGTATACAGAAGGGAACCACTGCGCAGCCCATGACCATCCTCAGGGTTGTCACGCTTCACCCCAGACCTGCAGCCCCTCTGCCGACCCATCCCACCAAGGGGCTTTCTCCCCCCACTGCCTCCAATAAGTACAAGGGGAGTCTCACTGCCTGCTTCCGGAAGGGCCCACCTCCCCATCGGTAACGCTGTTCTGATGTCTATCCGCCTAGATCCCTCCATTCTCTTCTAGAATGTAATGCAAATGCAATGGTTAACTTCATTCTGACTCTGTCCAGCTTCTTCTAATCAATGTGTTTTGGGGATTTATTGTCCATGTGGTGTGCACTCTTAAAAGTCAGCATCTTTTTCTACTGACCCTCTGTCTCTAGAGCGTGCTGCCCTTCTTCAGGTCTCGGTTCCTCCTGATAACATATCCCAAGTAAGGAAGATGCATCTTCCATCTTCACTTCAAAGAATCATTCTGGCTATACTTCTTCCAGGATGAATTTGTGGAAATCACTCCTTGTAATGTGTTCATCTTGGTTTGGTTATATCTTATAATACAATTAATTTGATTCAATATTTTTTCTGATAACGAAGTAATATTTATTATAAAATGATAGAATACACAAAAGCATAAATAAAGGCATTTAAATTACTCATCGTGTCATTTAGGACCACCCAGAGTGAGCCTTCTAGGGTTTCTTCTCCCAGTTGACCTACTTTCTATGTCCCCAAAATAAAATAAAATTGGAAATGCATTTCAAACACAATGTAGCACCCTGCATCACATGGCTATCACTGAGTTATGCCCAACACTCCCTTGTTAATGGACATGGTGGTTATCCAGCATCTCCGGGGTCTCTTCGATGCTCTTCAGGCTAAGACTTGACCTCTCTGTCCTCTCTCTGCACCCAAGTTGGAGTTAGGGACGGCTTTCAATGGGTGGAGTCTGGGAGTGGTGGCAAGCCACTACTCTTCAAATGTGTGGGGCTATCGTAGCAGTCTATTGCTACTGATACACTCTGAGAGTCTTAGTTTATCAAATTTACTGCTGTCTGGTATATGTTACATCTTGTCCAATGTGTGTGAAGTGCAAAAGGAGGCTCATTTGTGTTGTGCAAATCCCGATTACTGAGGCTCTGAGGTGGCCAGTATGTGTTACATCTTGTTCACTGTCACATGAAGTGTAAAAGGGGGCTCATTCTGAAGTTGGGCTGTGTGTTCTGTGAATGTCTGCTACTTCCATAGGCCAGTCGTCTTCCTGAGACTTCCTCCCTTCACCCTGCCTCCTGTGGGAGGGAGATGGCAAGCAGTCAATCAGGACAGTGGGCTTGTCTCTCATGACTCTCCAGCTCCTGCAGGACGACTGCAGCAAGGGGCCAAAGCACAGCCGTGACCTTGAGCACGGTGCAGCACCGTTTTCTTCCATTTGACATCATAGCACAGTTGTGCGTTAGGACGGACATGGCACCAACCCCACCAAGAGCTGCGTCAGTAGGTGTTTGCTGGCCTGGGCCATGACTGCATTGTCTTCTTTCCGATGAACCTGACCCCTTCATCATGGTTCAGTGTCTCTCTTCAGCCCTGATAAAAATTCCTGTCGCTATGATTTCTTGCTCTGATATTGTTATTCCTACAGAAGCTGGCATCTCCACACTCAGCTGTCAGTTTGAGGTTCTATGCTAGCTCACATGTTGCTGTGATGCTGGAAGTTATGCCAACAATATTTCAAAACCCAGCGGGCCACCCAAGGTAAACCTGCTTCTGCAGAGCTTCCAGATGAGAAAAGCAGTCTGTGGAAAAGGAAAAGGATGTCCACTTATAAGGAACTGAAAGTCATATAAATAGCAGCAGAGCCCAGTCAGATACAGTGCCTGAAGAGGAGGCCC